TACTTTTATATCCCAATATTCGATTAAATTAAAATTCTTGTGTAACAAAAAGGAACATTAGGAATAAGTGTAGTGTGCTCGGAGTACTTATATTGGAGGAAACTGCAAAAAAGTGGTTTGAAACCGGACTTTGGTGCAACGAACCAAAGATCATACTACATGATCTTTGAACGAACGTTCCATTTGCCAATTTGTATTGTGTACCGACCTAAAAAGGGTATAAACCATTTCCCCATAAGGAATAGGTGTAGGTGCATTGTTAGTGTATTTAATTTATCGTAGGAAAATTCGCCCTAGAAAATTTAGCCCAGGAAAATACGCCTCTGTAAGATTCACCTTTGAAGATTCGCCCCCGAGTATTTGTATAAACCCAACATAAATATAATTTACTATCTCCTTGCGTAATTGACACACTTGCTACCATCAAATTAGAAATTATTGACAGCCAAAGGCATATAGTTTCGTGCAGCTTAATAAAATGGTCATTAATAATAATAACGCACATACACAAATGTCAATCCTAACTCTAATTTATTAAGTCCATCCCTGACCAATGCCTCATGTGTTGTATTTATGTATATCAGACTACACACAAGTTTATATCTTGCAAATTACTATACAGAGTGGCCCAACGAGAAGTATACAGAGGGCTTTTAGGGTATTAAATTTAGAAATTTCGCAAAATCCTCGAACACGTCAATTTTGTATTCGAGGGGGAGAACTTTTGGAATACAAATCACGAACCCAAGTCTTCACCCCTCTACGTAGGGAGCTTAACCCCTAAAATTTTGAATGGAATCCTATGGCAAACGGCACATTATTTGAAAGCCAATTTAAACGTGATTACTAATCTGCTGCGCTTTTTAAATTCTATTGATGATATATTCAGTTGTAAATTCGAGTAAAACAACTTCTATTTCCTGTTGTTTTTTAAAGTGAAGAAAAACATCCTCTAAATTGGGAATTGATGTCCCGTTTCTATTTATGAGAACGACTATTACCGTCTCTTTAGTGTGGATATTCTGCAAAACCGTGAGCAGTTGTCTGCAATATTGCGGACCGCGCCAGTTGTCATAAGGACTCTATTTTCTAGGGTCTTAGACAGGGAGAGAGAGGTACATGGGTACATCACTGCTGCTTTTGGATAGGAACGGGAAGTGGCTTTGCGTTTGAAGCTTGTGTTCGTTCCTGGATTGGAAAAATTGTTTGCAGATATCAATATATACATTATACACTGTATCCAAAGTAAGCATGTCTATCATGAGGATCTCTAACACCAAGGTTTGTTGGGTCATTGTCGCATCTTCGATGGTTTCGGAGATCCTTATCTTGGACACAGTGCATATCCATATGATCAAATCTCTAATGAAGGTACGACAATGGTCAAATTATAGAAAATATGCGCAACTAAACGGTTATCATGCTTTAAAGAGAACCAAAAAATGACGATTACTTCCGAAGATACGTCAGTAAAACCGAAATTTGCCGATTTCATTTTTATTTCTTTCTGCACACAAAGGAAACGAAAGTTGGAAACTGTTAGTTTGAACAGGATGGTGCACCCGTTCACAACGCCCTAATCGTACGAGAATAACTATCGGACAAATTTCCTAGAAAATGGAAAATATGTCCGGTAGGTATTCTCGCATGCTTCGGGCGATGTGCGCTGGTGCACCATCCTGTTGAAACCAACAGTCACCATTGTCGCATTTTCTATGGTTTCGGAGATCCTTATCTTGGACAGAGTGCATATTCATATGATTACGAGGAGTCTCCAATAAACGACTGGCAGATTTTTAATTGCCGATTCCATCGTTATGTATTGTAATTACCTGATGTGCTCAGGGATTTCGAAGCAATAGATAAATACAATATATGGGCATCATTGTTTCTTTATGGCAGTAATTGAGTACTACAATGTTTTGACGAGTAATACATTTTGTTTTTGACACACGTTTACTGCCCTAGATTATCTGTGTTGACACAGTAGCTCATAGCCTTGGAGCTAGCTCATTCAACTTTTGTGATATCTAATCTTTGCGAGCTTAGAGAATCAATAGACTACGCGGAGTTTGAATAAAAATGAAAGAGAAAACGTTTGGTGTCATTTGGTCACTCTAACCTTCAGCAAGACAAAGAATGATCGAAAGCACCCTTACGAAACAACTCCAATAAACAACTTTGTTGTGTTTTTGGATGCGAAATCTAGTATGTAATCCTCAGACGCGGCGCGCAAAAGATCAAAACCGGTCTGGATTTATGTGGATTATCCCAATTTCCAGATTGCTAACACCCAAACACTTCCCTTGCGATATTTACTGCAAGCAGACGTTGTTTCAGTGAACTGACGTTAATGTCAAAATTTATTTGTGTAGTACTCAAACCTTGTTTTACTTCCAGCGATGGCCATCCGATTCTTCCGCGCCTTGTCGAGAAAAAAGTTAGTGTCCAACGACGAAGAGAGTAAATTGGCGAGAGTCCTGACACTGCTCGATCTAACCGGATTGGGCATAGGAAGCACGCTCGGACTTGGTGTGTACGTCCTGGCAGGATCCGTTGCAAAAACCGTAGCCGGGCCAGCAGTTTGCATTTCCTTCTTAATCGCGGCTATAGCATCAGCATTTGCAGGTAGGCAATTTTAGACATTGTGAATATCACCAAGGTAATAAAATTGTGTAGGAATTTTCACTATGAAAACGTTCAATGCCATTGCTAAAAATGTATTTACACTATTTATCAAGGTTTAATTTGACGTTTCATTTTTTACCTATCACTAGCGGTGTGTTTACGTAATGGACTAGAAATATTTACATGTTCAGTATCTACTATGGCAAAGAGGGAACATTTCATTAATTATTCAACAGTAGAAAGTAAGCCATTTACGCGTAACATTGCTTTTTGAACAAAAAAAACTGTTATGTAGCTAATTTCTGTAGTCTTGACGATTGAGCATTGAGACCATGGGCCTTTATCACAAGGATTTATTGAAATTTTACACGTCGTGTTGCATAGCTAACGTAGCGGAAAACATAATGTGGGAAATTGAAGTATTTCGCATCGCTGGTCGCAAGGCAAGATAGGTAAATATTAAAAACTTGACGAATTGTTGAACAATTTCTGAAAAATGACTTATAAGTACCTACCCTAGAAGAATCAATGAAAATGTTTGTGATTCCCCAGAGGAAAAAACGAATAGACATGAAGAAGATGTCAAACCTTTATGAATTTATCAAAGTGGAAATAGCAACTAGGCATTATTTGCCTTTCAGTCCATTTTTGGAGGAGAAATTTTGGTTAGAGGTTACTTGTAGTAACAATTCTTCTATGGCAAAATACCACTCGCCTAATCCTTCATCTGTCCGTAACCTGAAGAGTTTTATAGACGTGATTTCAAACTTTTATGGCTCAGAAAAATAGTCCCTGTTAGTTGATAACTAAATTATATTCTACGTCCTTCGTTTCACGGTTTGTTATTAGCATTACCACAATTGTTTAGTTAATTACGAATCTCTTATCGAAGTTGGTAAACCATATAGAATAAACAAAGTGGACAAAACGTGTGTAATTTATCAATTCTGTCACCGTTGTAATTATGGATCAATCAACTGGTTACGGTTTCGGTCCAACTAAATAGAAGATGAGAGCGAGCCACCTTGTAGTGTGAATATCGGAAATAGCAGTCAGGATACCGTGCATGTATTTCATAAGACCTAATAATTCGTTAGTTTCTTATTGTAAATTTTTTTGATAATTGTTTAATTCCCTTCATTCTATTTGTTGTATTTAGTTTGTACGATAAATTTAAAACGGGAAACTTTGGTAAATTTATTGAGTTAAAGGTAATTGCGGAGCAAGAACACCTTCTACGACTGTATCACGGTGTTTTGACCGAGAATGAAACCAATAATGGAAACGAAAAGACACAGGATCGCAACTCCGATGACTTATCTTATGTTTCTGTAGCCAGTATTCTTCTTCTTATTATTATTGTATTAGTATTATTATTCTATATATTTTGAATATATAAACTTATATTTTAATTAAAAAAGTAATTAGGGACTGAGTCCGACGTTAACCCTTGCGTAATATAAACGTTAACTCACACTGAAGACTTAAGGAACGTTGAATTTTTTCCGCGAGTTTAAAGTTTTTTCTGGTCAGGTGCTGATCAAAAGTTGTTATCGGATAAGAATTAATTGGTTTTTCGACCGACAAAGTCACGTGCGAGATAAGCGATGCAGGTGTTTCAACAGTTTATGGCGACATAGGTGGAATTTTAAGTGTCGTCGGGAATAATGACGTTGATTTTATTAGAGGCGGATATTTTTGCTCAAATAGGAAGCATGAAGAGCAAACGGATAACTATCGGGTTATTTTGAAAGAGAGCGTATTTGTCTGAAACTCTAATTGGTAACGATAGTTCATCCGGATATGCAATTTGAAACATAAATGATGCGGAGACAAATTAAATGTCTTGCAAGAAGAAAAGTGTTACCACCCGAGAAGCGACAAAGTTAAGTGTTATGTCTTCGAGTCAGCTGTGGCGTTTTAAAAGTGAGCTGTTTTTGTTTCTAAGAAGAGTGTCAAATTCGTGTTAAAGTGCGTGTTTCGCCGAACATCGCATATTTCTTGTCCTGGCCAATTTATTGGGTTATTGTGAGTAATTTTGAAAATAATTTCGAACCAATGACATTTCAACTTGAAAATTCCCATTTTCATTATTTCTGCGAACCAATCAAAATAAAAAGTTACCGTCACACAATGAACCTTTACTTTACTGTAAGATTCTTCAAAAAGGAATTCCTTCTACCCTCGTTTTCATTAGGGTTTTACTGAAGTGGGTATGTAATTCTTTAGTTTTCCTCGAAACACTCACCTCTGCTAGTATTTGTCTCCGCCGAAATACTCCGCTGCCAACTTACTTGCTCCAAGGAGGGTTCAAGCTCAGGGCAGCTCCATTCCAAAGAATTTTTTTAAGGAAAATAACATTTGAAACAGCTCGTATGCATTCAATTCCAGAGTATCCTTCTATTTTTGTGATAACTTTTGGACGTAAAATGTAAATTCGATGCTTCCAGCGAATTTAGGCTCGTTTCCAACAAAACTCCCTTCTGTAAATTTGAAGGAAAGCTCCCCTTACCAGGAACTTGCTACAACAAAAGTGCAAATATCACAGCAAACTGGACCAAGGATATCCACCCCTACGAAATATTTTATGGTGTCTCAAAAGTGTACAAGGTACCTATCCCAAAATTTATAACCACGTAAAATTCGGCAAAATAATTTTTTTTTCAAAAATCCGAAAACTAGTCGACGTTTTTATAGAAGGCGAAATTTTATGCAAAAGTGTGCAAGTTCTAGCATCAATTTGCGACACTCAAATAGGTACTTGTAATTGTCACTAAACCATAAAAAAATAATAAAAAAAACCATACGAATTCCTAATAGGTACTAAATGTATGACGTAAAAAGATCAAAATGTAGGTACATTTCCGGTGTGCAGGAAACCTATAAAAAATTAACATTAGAATGCAATGTCATCCCGTGACTAACTGGCTTTTCTTACGTAGGTATTTATCCGGAAGCATAAGAATTAATAATGATCACGTTTTATGCTACAAAATGGTTTTTTCATAAGCATAACGTAATTATTACAATTAGATTGTCGTAATTCCCATGTATTTAAACCACTTAATCCTTTATTTGTAGGTTGATGAATCCGACGTCTGGAAAGTTCTGAAAAATGTTTATTGATGGCACAAGCAGCTACTAGCATTATTTAGTATTTTTGTGCCACTTTGTTTCTTTTTATCAAACGGCGAGTAGATATATTCTAAACGATTACATGGTCGATCGCTAGAAGTCGAACATCTTTGTAGAAATTGCACAACCGTAAAACCGAGAAAATCGAATCAATCTTATTTTTTGCGATTTTCTCCCCTTTTCTGTGACTTTTGGTGTATTTTCGCGATATTGATGTAAGAATTAATGACCAATTTGATTTTTTGATGCGCGTTCGTTGTGATGGTTGACCATAAAAGCGCAACGTTTTGATTATAAACACTTTAATCCGAAAAGAAAACGTGCTTTCAATCTTTTCTCATATATTTACTTTTTTAAGTAAATTGGAAAACCGTTTTATGTACGTAAACTTTGAGTACGTATTTTATTTCTGATATAAATCTGTATATTTTTTTTAATAGTACCTTATAAGTGGTCCATGAAGCACAAATTTTGTTAAATAAGTTCAGTTTCCAAATGGGAAATGTAACTGGTAGACAGTTTGTCCGTCTGTCGGTTTGTCTAACTACTTTTACGACTGTTAGTTTCAAGTTTCTGTAAAAAAACATTATAAAATTATGTAATGTTATTTTCCTGATTTAACTACCGTAACCTACGATTCGTACTCTTATTTAGTATTCTTACTCTTGTTATTTAAATTCTTACACCATCTAGGTATTTTCTTTGTAACCGACTAGTTTAGTTTAGTTAGATGTAAGTTGTTCTAAGTGTTCTTATTACAATAGTTCTTTGTTTTGCCACTAAAGGTTGTGCAGAGGTTTCTTCAATTTTCAAAGAGATGCAGATGGTGAATTTGGCGGTAGCTTCTTCTAAATAGTCGGCTCGAAACTCGCGGTTAATTTTACTAACAAGCGAATGTATTGTTACTGAATGTAACAATATCTTTGTGCACTACCAATCCCAAATGATTTTTTAAATCCCACGCAATTCAAACATTCAGATTGTGCAGTTTTCAACCCCAAGGTTGTATCCACACCTTTCCTCTACAACAGACATACAATCCTGGAGTACTAACTTAAAAAAACGACTGAATTTTACCAGATCACCTCTGTCTTGACGCCTAAAACCACTAAGGAACAAAAAGCCCATACAGCATGATTATGTAGAGACGACGCATGTTATATTGGCTGCAATCATATTTGTTTGGAAAAAACAAAAAGATTCAAATACAAGATTCCGCATTATTCGTCTCTTTTTACATTATTAACATTAACATATTAACATGTTACTTTGCCTTGACTTGCCGTAATTATTTTTACGTGGGTAGTTATTTTGATTAAAATTAAAATATTTCCGTTATGTTGATAAAACTTTAGGATTTAGAAATTGCTTGCGGCTATTATGGTTTTTACTTTTGTTAGATGGCAAATCGTTCCTACAAATCTTAATTTTTTCTAATCACTGTTGATTGTGCTATGGCTTGCGATGTACCTTCCAAAATTCGTGGTTTTTTGAGTGAATTTGATACTTCATGTACCATTATCAGTCATATTATCAATTTTTTCGATTTTATTACGAATTTCTATTTTTAAATGAAAATCAGCCACCATTTTGCAAGATGGCTGCCGTAGCACGGCAAGCACGAGTGTTCATATTTTACATGTCGCTACTGGGTAATCATATGCAAAGTATTCCGTTTTAGGGAATTACTTCTAGGTATTATCCTAATATGAATGGACTACTTTGCTTAATTGAGGTAGCCGCAAATTCCCTTTTAAAATATTTAAATTTCACAATATGTGCCTGGGCCATCTTCGCAACGTATTCCTTTTATTCCACCTGCCATACATCAGAAGTTTGTGACCGATCTACTTCTCTTAAGGAAGAACAAATATTTAGGGTACTATTTTGGTTAAATTAATTGAACAATTTAGATTTCAGGAGAAGTTAATTAAACTACAATATGTAACCATTTCCGATTTAATGACGTTATGCGATTATTGCTTTGTTAGAGCGTTAATCATGCTTGACTAATACGAATTACCATAATATCTGGATTCGTAAATTACTAGAATCATCAACAATGAATTAGCTGTTTAAATGTAATTGCGTATTGGGTACAGTTATCTCTCTAAGCTGTTTAGCGCAATTCGCTTTGTTTGTTATTTTCTTGAGGGGGCATCGTTCAAGTGTCTCCTTGAAGTTGCGATAGTTTTTGATATGGTGATTTTTTCTGTATGCAACATTTATTGTAACAATTAGGATCACTTGCGATTAGACAGCACAAACGACAATAATAAAAAAAATGTTTGATCTTGAGCGGAATTCAGACGTTATCTTGTTAATTTGTGGCCCTGATGATGATCTTCCGCACATTTAATTTAAAAAAAAACGAGGTGGGTCGAGCCTCAATTTAATAACCACGAATCTGACTCACGCCAGACTATACCGGTACAAGCCAATACGTCCTTGAGCGTAAAGAAGGAACTGCAACTTTATCATTTTGTTATATCTTATCAAATTAAATAAAAGCAATAGTTTCGCATTTTTATCTAATAATGACCTAAATTCACTTTATTTATCAAAAACAAACCATTTATAGCATGCAAACTAAAATTATGCTTTGTATCACCCCCCCCCCCTCCTTTCCCTAAACTATAATTACAAACAATTTTTTTTTTATTTCAGCGTATTGGGCAAATTTATACTCTATGCATTTTTTTTCTTATCTTATCCCTCTTTTAAAACACCTACTTTCATTATTCTGTGTCCTCCATTCGCCCCCCTTTCCCTAATTCCTTTTCACTTTTGACATTCCTCACTCACCTTTTCTTTTAAAATCTTACCCTCCGAAAACATATACTTCAGTATTCCTTGTTGTAAGTGTATGCGTATACTCATCTCTCTTTATTTGTCCTAAAAATACGTTCTCAATGCAATTAACCTTTTGAAAAGTCCATGATTGCCAAAAAGGCACTTCAAATTGTTGTAAAAGTCCATTCGCATCGTGTACAACATCCAAACCCCCTAGCGATAACTTTCCATCCCTCTTTGTACATTCCGCACCCCAATTCGCCACTGACCAGTTCTTCTTTTAGACTCTTCATTTCCACCAATTCTATTCCCTCAAATTTCCGATTACTCTCAATCCTCATATGATCAAATTTGCGATTATTCTCATCTAATTTCTTATTACTTTCTCAGTTCTCTGAGACAAAACCGAAATCCTTTGCTTCGATGTCATTCTTAACAATGAATGTAATACAATACGTAGAATCTTTTTATACAATGGTTCTCATAGGTCGACTTCTTCAGGAATATCAAAGTTACTCAAATTCAATATGCAAATTCCTAATAATAATCGACCACTAATTTATAGAATGTAAAAAAAATCAAGCTTACTGTAACTGACGTGGATGAGATCCCCTTTAAGAATATGGAAATAAACCGCTGTTCACTTTTTGTAACGTTCGTGGTGAATGCGAAACAAAAATGTCCATACGTATTGTGCACTCCAACAAACCAGCTCCAAATTCGTGTAATAATAATACGTAATATTGTTATTAGGCACGGGAATCACCTTTTATTGAATATGCACGCCATGTTATCGCCTTTTTACTTTCAGGCGTAATTTTGTTTCTGTTCGCTATAAAGTGGTATATGCGTAAATCTTCCTATGCCACTACCAAAATAGAAAATCGAAAAATTACTTTAAAAAAACAGATAATGTAAGTTGATAAACTGTAAAATAAACTTACAAATTTATAAATATTTAGGATCGCTTTCATTAAAGGAGAAAAACATCTTTTTTTGACACGGTCGCGAAAACTGAAAATTTTCAATTGAAACTTCCTGAAAAGTTCTCTGCAAAGTTGCGAATGTTAATTTTGTAATTTTCTGTTCCAGGTTTATGCTACGCGGAATTTGCGGCGAGGGTACCGAAAGCGGGATCGGCTTACGTATACAGCTACGTTAGCGTTGGCGAATTTGTGGCGTTTGTCATCGGCTGGAATCTGATTCTGGAATACGTCATAGGTGGGTTTGCGAATTTTCGTCGGGTAGTAAAAATAAACATTTATGGGTTTTTTCGCGTATGCAAATTTTAATGACGGTCGATTACTGCATCTCTCGGCAAAACTGGTACCTATTAAATTAATTCGCCCCAAATTGCTTGAAGGTAAGACTAATGTTTGGAATGGTAATGCATCGCATAAGAAATAATTGACTACGTAACCGCGTGTTTTCCGTGTAGGTAATTGGTTGTAATGAATAAATATATCGTCACATTAAAGAAACCAAGGAGAAAATAATAAGCACCGTTTGAAATGTATAAATAACGTAGTCGGGATTCACAGTTTTTTTAAGAAGCTGATGGAAAGTCCCCAAAACGAGGGTACTGTCGTTATACGTGAAAGGTTTAGTAATAAAGGTGCATGATAATTAATTAGATTCAACAAGATGGGAACCATATTTTGCAAAATATTCTGTTCGTTTTGATTTCTGTGCCCTGGTCGGTTGAGGTTTCACTATAGGATCGCCACTCTCGGAGTACTGTCATACCAACCCCCAATTTTTGTGTGCGAAAGAAGTACCAATTTACCCACTCCGCTAATTTTATACAGTTGTATGTTCTTCGATGAAAAAATCGTAACTTTTATTTTTGGCAAAATACAGAGTGCCCCAGATTGAGTGACATTATTGCTTACTAAAGATGGAGATTTGATTAAATGAGGAAAGTGGGTTAAAATTTTGTTTTGAAAATTAACTTTCTTTTATTAAATAGAGGGCTATATTGGATTGAACGCAAATCAACAATGCATTATTTAACAAAGGATGCCAGTAAAATTAATTATTATTACTAAGCATGTAGAACTAATTAAATCATTCCTCAATAATACCTATATTTGGGTATTGGAACCTAAGTAATCATTTTTGCTGGTTTGAGTGCCAGTTTCCAAGTTTGTGCGCCTTAATTTTTGAAATTACTAAAAACTTATGTCATACCTTTGCTTCGATTTTGTATCTTTTACGATAAGAGAATGCATATTTTTGTAAGAGTCCATGGGGTTCCTATTCATTGGTCAGTAACCGTCATTTGGATTTTATTGGGACTTCATTTTTAAGTTTATTCCACCGAAATCCGACACTTTTAAATGATATAATTATATATAATTAATATAATTGTAGCATTATTTATGAGAAAAATCTTTTTTACTGGTACCTTTTCAGGGGATTTTTAAATGAAGTTTAATTTTTAAGTTCCTCTATGCACCCAATACTGCAATTTGTGCATATTTATAATTAATTTTAAGTTTTTACTCCATCCTCACCATTTTTACGGTGAAATAAAAACTTAAAATTTAGTGATGGTGATTAATTCAAATATCAGCACAAAACAGACATAAACCAATGACAGTTTTGATGAGATCTGTGGTTGAAAAAATAAAGAAGTCTTGCACGAATTGAATAGTGAACACAAATGATAAAAACAAATCTAATTTAACATGGCAAAAGTCAACATGACATTTAATCAATATCCAAACATCTTAAGATGCTAGCCGTCGGGTCGTCCTCGTCGTTCGTTCAATCGTAGCTGCCACGCGGGTGGCACGGGTTCGATTCCTCATCGATGCAAATGTTTTTAAATTTTATATATTTAGCATTGCTACATTTCGCCAGACTAATGCTGACCGTTGACGCAGCATAACACACAGGCCCGTAGGGGCTGCTGTTTCTAGTCTGTTATTGATTTACTTTCTCTCTCATAGCAACACATTAACATTCGAAACCATTAAGGGTTGGGTAAAGTTGACCAAAAATATCACACGGCCATTCAAACCCTTATTAAAGGTAATGACGCAGTTTGTCAGTAAAGATTGCAGCGGGATTTTCTTTCCTACAAGTCGAATGTGATCTTTAATACAGGGAGTGAGCACGCAGATCAAAGAATATGTCCACAGAAACTACAGTGACTCTATAGAGACCGTGTGCAGGTCATACGATGGTGTTAATTTTTATTGGTAGTTGGGAGATCCACCATGTTTTGGCCAAATACTTTACATTGGTGGAAATTAACCTGGAAACCTAGCTGTAACTTTTGATCTAGTTGCCCAATCTTGGAACTGTTTGAAATTATGGAATCTACAGGACATATTCTATAAGAAAATGTTTTTTTCCGGTCGATCTGAGACATTTTCTTTGGGGCCTCAAAAAAAGGCAGTGTATAACCTTCCATTTTTACCAAAAATCGACTACACCAAAATTTCTCGGGAAAACACTTTTTCTTATTAATTTTGGTGCGTAGAATCCAAAACGATTTGTACTTTTTCGATTAGACTTCTCAATCAAAAGTTATGGACTAAAAACCAATTTCGAAAGAAAATTCAAAGGGCTGTAACTTTTGATCTAGTAGCCCAATCTTGGAGCTGTTGAACAGAATGTTTGGTTTATTAATTTAACATGTCAATTACGTGGGTGGAAGTAACAGTCAAGAAGGCCGTATTTTCTTCTGTTATTGAGATATTTTCAAAGAGTAATTTCGTACAAACTTTTTCAAAGTGTGATAATTGTAAGTATGTAATTTCTCTTGAAATGGCGGATGGTGGCAATTATTCATTTTAGAGAACTTATCTGAACGTTTATTGAGCGAAATTTCGGGTTGTGATTTCTAAAAGTGACAGCGTGACAGTTCTCATTATTGACTACTGGTTAATAATGACCACATTATTAACCACTTTGAACAACTGGCGAGAAAGCCTGCTTTACAAGTGGAAAAAGGGTTAAAAATCATGTTATTAGACACTAGTAGTGAAAAAATAGGTTTTGATTTTAGGTATCTATATAGATAATCACAATCATAGGTGTTCACTTTTTTGGAACGAGGCGGGATTTATGCACTCAGAAATAACTGCGTTATTACTTTTCAAGTGTTTACCAGATTTTACCTCTCCGGTCACCTTCTGTCACATTACGCATCTTATGAACAAATGAGTACTTCCTCGTTACTTCCCATATACTTCCCCGTACTTCCTCGAACTTCCCCGTACTTCCCTGGACTTCCAGTAATTCCCCGAACTTCACCGTACTTCCCCGAACTTCCCTGTACTTCCTCATAACTTCCTCCGTTCTGTACAATTATTTCCCCTGGTGTTTACCCCCTGCTAATAACAAATTGATTTACAAAAATTATTCGACCTCTATTTTTTGGTCTATTAACGTAAGTTGAGGGAAGAGTCTTTGTTGTCAACTGTCTATGATTGGTTGTTATAATTTTGATTTTCGGAAGAAGGGTTTTCGCCTTAAATAGGACGTGAAGAAGGAAAGCGTCGCTTTTAGCCAGAGTTTATGCCGTACTACGTTTCGTTGAGATTTGGAACCAGTTTTTTTTGCCACAGTCAACGCAAAACTACGTTTATTTGAAAATTTAAATCAGATTTTTGCCAGGGTTTACGCAGTATTACGTTTGTTCAAGTTTTGAAAGCGGCTTTTTGCCACGTGCAGCACCGAGTTACATTTTGTTCCATTTGCGTAGCCGGAATCCGAATTCGCCGCTAATTTTTGTTCTACATTTTGAAGTTTTGGCCATCAAAAGTGCTGCAAGGAGAGGTGTTTGTTGGCACCCCCATAAGTGTGTTCTAAACGTGACTCAGAAATTGAGTTTTTTTGTTTGGAACGTCCTTGTCTACCCGACGGGACGATGCTGGGATTACTCGGTCGTTAGTATAACGTGTGTTCTTTGAAAATTGTAATTTTTGGTGAATCGTGTACGGATACCTTTATTTGGATGTAATTCCCGGACAAGTAATTTAAGTAGTCTTAATTTGAGTCTATTGGTAATTTTTGTTTATGTTTGTCTATCATTTTCCTTTTGTGTGTTTGAATTAAATCGCACTTTTGTAATTTTCACATTAATTTCCGTGTGTTTCATTCACAACGACGTTTTCTCTAATTTATTTAAATTCTAAATGAAAATCACCACATTAATTTGAAATTGGGGTTGGAGCCCTTAACATGCCACAGCATCGACTCTTGTTTCGATTCAGGGTCATAATGATAAATCTAGGTTTCATATCCAGTGGCAAGTTGATTGATAATTAGTCTGGTTCATCTCCACAGCGCGCCAAGAATTATTCACAGGTCTCCAAGCGGACACGCATTTGGAATGGCGAAAGAATTCGCGGAACCCATCTTCCACTAAACTTTGCCATTCCAAGATACACGTGTAAAATTCTGAAAACCGTAGTTTCTGAAACTCCTAGCGAAGGTCTTGGTTTTTTCCACATCAGAGTTGATCACCCTAGACGGTGACCATCACGTTTACTCTGTCATCATCTAGTGATTCTCGACCATGTCTAAAAAAATTTGACCACTCGTAAATAGTTGAAATGGGCAATCAACCCCAACATTGCTTTAAGAATAATTTTTGGAAGGATAGCTGAGCACCGGAGTCGTAAGCAAAGCTTGTTTAAGATCTTCAAAAGCCCGCTTATATCCATCATCTCATAGAAAATCTCTGTGTTCATCTGGTCAACGGCTTCATATTATCGGCAAATCCCCTTCTGGAAATCGGAAAGTGCTGTTCGCCTTACAATAACTTTCTTCAGCTTGGCGATGTTATCAAATTCGTCACTTCCACGGCAATCTCGGGTGATAACGCGGTAAGCGTGTGGTTAAACATCGTTTCTTCGCATTCGATTTTTGGGTTCGGCAGTTTTAATTTCTGTTCTGTGTAGTCAAAGGGGCGATAAAGAAATTGCGGAAGTAAATACCATTTGATGTGCAAATGGTTCATAAGGCATCTCGTTGTTGCTCATCTTGAATTGTTTCTTCTCACCACGTGGCAAGTGCGCATGCTCATCCTTCTCTTCTAGTCTACACTCTACTACATGTCCAGTTAATTTATGGAGTTTCCCAACGGATTCACAGAAATTACTGAGAACTGAGAACAAACTATTAAAAAACCCTCCGGATGATGTGGTTCTTTTAAATTAAAGGTTTCTTTTTCTTGTTTCCCTGGAATACCTTTGCAAATTGAGTTGTTTCTTTACGTTTCCTAAAATATTTAGTTTTATTAAAACAGACTGGATCGAGTACAACAGAAATTGTGGCTACCTAACGTTTTAGTCATTAACATCGTGTTTATCAATAGGTATATATGACATACTTTCGGTATCCGCCGCATATGAAAAAAATCAACTATGGGTAGGAACTACACAGAACAGAAGTGCGGGTATGAGGAGTAGGGGAACCCGTGCTCTCGCTCACTCCACTAATTCCCCTACGAGCGTTTCACTATTTTCGAAACCGAGCATTTGACTTACTCTGCCTGGCTTACTATTGGGAAATGTAGTAAAATGCAGCTGGGAACTTCATTCTGCGGCATTAACTTGAAAGTGACAAATTTCCGCTTCGCATTGTTACTGGATATGAGATGATGATGAGATTATCCAGAGGGACTACAAGCGAGAATGGAACCATCGAAGCAGATGAAAGCCGAAGTGTGTGATGGAAGAAAGGTCCCATTGATCTTTCTCTTCCAATGTCGTGGACGGCTGCTGGTTGAGTTTTTACCGTAAGGCGTTATTATTATTATTTATTATTAGCATTAATTATCTAGAGAGGTACTGGCATACTGGACACTCTGAAGCTGAAAATCAAGAGCGAACGACCGGGTCTTCTCTGGAGAATGTAATTATTTTGCATGACAGTGCCCATACGACTGGGGCCCGACTTCAGCCCAAACATGTCTCCGTGCGATTTCCACGATTTTGAGCTCATGGAGGAGCATTTGAAAGGTCGCCATTTCATGTCCTCACGCCCAAGGGAATTCTTGGAGCGAAGGCATTCTTGGTCTTGTTTAGCAGTGAGATAAATGCTCTAGACGTGGAACTGGAGGTGCCTGTGGACTTGTACCAGTAAAGGAAAATTTACCGCACATCGGGTTTCGAATATAAAAATCAATCCCCAGCGGTTTTAAAATTGCGTACATTTTAAATCACAGTCTCTGTTGCTAAACACTGATCCTCTTCAAGGGCTCCTGTAAAAGGTACAAAGGAAAACTACTTATAATTAAATTCGTTGACATATATATTTTAACATATCTATATGATGAACAATAATATGAAACGAAAACATTTCAACAAGACTTTACTCCTTCTCTTGAATAACAATTTAGCCTAATATAGGCGAAAATAGAGCAAAACTTATATAGACCCTACAAATCAATTGGAGTACTCTTTTACTGATTGGATCAACCAACAATATTTATACCTAAAGTATAATATCTAACTATGAGATGTACGAGGCCAAACCGTCCATCCTCATTATTCTGTACGGCACACATATAACATTCAAATTAAAATCGAAAAAATAGTTTCTTGTATTTATACACTAACAATAGTAAATACATTTAGTACGTTATCACAATATGAGTTCAGATTAATGTTCAATGCGCTTTAAGCCGGAAAATAGGTAAACGTGTCGTAGGTCTTGGTATTTTGGGTAAGTGTATCACTTCATTTCTCACGTAAACGATAACAACGCCTATGTAAGGTTAACATTTATAATAGAGTATTTTAGAAATTCTTTACATTTACGCTAAACCCTAAAGTATGTACATGATAGTTTACGTACATTTCGCACCCTGCGATTCGCTTATTTTTAATGTAATACTTATAAATAAATAATCTAAACAAATATCTATCAAACAATATACGTATATATAGGCTCAATTATATATCGTATATTTTTGAAGGACGCTCCCGTATTATCTTCCTTGTAGTAAACAAAAGAGGATAACGAGGGGTGAATATGTATATTACTGGAGGGAAAATGGTAATAAAGCGCCTTAATTAATTAAGGTGGTTTACTTTCGACACTTTCATGGTAAAAACGAGATGACTGCTTTATTACCTACTTGTTTTAAATTACACTCATCACCTCGTATTATCCACAATTCAATATACAGACGCGACGTGTGCTACAAGGAGATGTACAATGTTACCGACTATTTACACAAATCCCGTATGACCGAAATACATCGATACTTTGATATATGACAAAAGTCACTTTGTGGTACAAAAAAAAAGGAGAATCGAACTTAAAATTAATCTAAGAACGCGCAGTGGCGAGGCATAACCGTTTGCAAGATTAGCCTTGCAGCGAGATATGGCTATAATGTGGAAAGACATTGTAGCGTATTAGTACTTTGATATTTATATAACAACCATTAACTGTATTATGTACAATGGAGTGTTGCGGGGAAAATTGGTTTTATCTAAGTTTTCCCGATCGAAAATTTCTAACACCGCGCGCCCTTCCGTGTCCTCCGCACAAAATTCGTTTAAACGCCTGTCGGAATTCGGGACTAAAAATTGTATAAATCACGGGATTTAGAGTGGAATTAAAGTACCCTAACCAGAGGAAGAAGTTAATAATATAGTCGCTAATATTGCAGGATTCGCACAGCGGCATGAGCAGTGCGAGAATAAAAAATGGAAGCCAACAAACAACGAAAGCTCCGGTTATGATTGCCAGTGTTTTAGCAGCTTTACGTTCTCGCTTGCTTTCTAAACTCTCCTTTTTATCTCTTCGGGACGGTACGGCCGCCGACGAACCTATTTGGGCGTCTTTTATTTCTCGCGCAATCATTTCGACACGGCTGATGTCGCTTATGTGACTTTGATGGCTGGCGGAGCCGTTATTTGTGGTTCCCGTTGAGGATTTTTCGGGCGAAACGTTGTTTGAGATCGGATGATGAGTGTTGTTCTGCAAAGGGATCAGCTGCGTTTTCGGTTTGGAAATCGTAAAAGCGGTGGTCTCCTCCCCCGTCCCGTTAATCTCACGCTCATCTTGCTCCTCCAACACCTCCATCGTTGTGGTCGACTGACCCTCTACCATAACCATAGAGGCCATTAGCGCCTCGGTCGCAGACGATTTCTTATTTGCGCACTGTTTCATACGTAAAAATTTTCTTTTACTTAAAAAGTTTTTCTTAATTTTACTACCACTACTGATTTTCGTCTTTTCTTCTATCTGACTTTTTTGCTGGCGTCTTCTTCTGATACGTTTTCTCGCCGTTTGAAATATTTGCCAGTATAAAACGAGGATCACAAGTAGAGGAACATAAAACGTAGAGCAAGTCGCAAAGATCTGATATCCCACATCTTGGCTAACCAAGCACTGCTTTTTAACGTTAATGCGGTAAAGGTAGTCCGGATCCTTCCAGCCAAATTGGGGTACTTGAGGCGCTACCGAGACTATTAGAGCGACACCCCAAACCAATACAATCATGATACCTATCCTGTTACTGTTGCGGGTGTGGATGTAGTCGACGTTTGTCACCGCCCAATATCTGGAAGCACGGTATTGGGATAATTAAAAATTAAGGTCAAGTATTTCGATGCTTACCTATCGACTGCAATTGCGACAAGGTGTAAAATGGAAGCCGTGCAACAGAGTACGTCGCTCGATGTCCACATGTCGCACAATTCTGGTCCCATTATCCAGTTGTTGCTGATCTGGGGAAACAACAGTGTAAATTTAATGTAGGTTTTGTTCTGATAACACATAAAGTTCATGTCGTCTAATAAAGCTTTTCGAAAACATTCGAGTCTCTGAAAACTCGCGCCCGTACACAATATTCGCCTATGAAAATTAGCGCCTAGAATTGTTCTTTGGTTTTAATAACGCGATAACATTATCAGGTTCCAGTTTGGCGGAAGATAAGCTTAGATTCACAGGAAACGAGTTGCAATTCTACCGACGTGTAGGGGGAATAGGAGCTGGTAGTTTTTAACTAAAAAGCAAATAAGTCCATTTTACTGGAGGAAATGGGACAATAATGAAAAGAATGAGAAATGAATAATATGTAATAAGGTGAGCTAGCCGTGGATACATTTTGGGCAGAAAAATTTTACTTTACCATGAGCATTCAAAATTTAAATATAAAACGTTGAGGAATTTACCTACCATGTTAACAACGATTAATAAGGATACCTATCGGGACAAGGATCCCGTCTAGGATCCCAGTGACATACGTAATACAGTTATTTTATCTAATTCTCATTTGATTAATAATACTTATTTCCGACTGACAGTCGGAAAGTAGAAGTAAACAATGAAACTCAAGATGAGCCCCAAACAAATCCTAGGAATCTTATTGTTATCACTCACTTAGCTTTTGTATTTAGAAAGAACATGAAAGGGGCCTTCCTTCTACTTATGCAGTTTACTGGAAGATATATTTCAACGTTCAGCGTCCTACCCGATGTAATAATCACACCGTAAATTTTTCAAATCTACCAGCTTTACTGAACACCCGGTATCTACAGGCGCTTCGTTACGAAGACTGCCTCTCCGAAAATATCTATTTATGTTATAGGAGTTCGAGTAGAAAGTAGTGGTTTTAATTTGTAGAGCCGCCCATTAAGGAAAATCAGAGGCCGTATTTAATTGTTTTGTTTGCTTTTTCCCAGGGGAATAATTAAGTTAGGTTTGTAACGTTCGAAAGCTTTTGCCATGACAAGGATGAATAATTTTATGAGATTTTACGTAGCAATGGGCGTTACTGGGCTACCGTTGATCCGGCCATTTAGTTAAGTATAATTAACCGCGTTTAATTCAATCAGTTGGTAAACAGCATCCGATTAGGACATGAGTAGTCTCAAAAAAGTGCTCTTTTTACTCTTTTTCTTTAATACCAATTACAGATTTTTGTGACCGCAGAAGGCCACACAATTAATTGAAGAAGTTCTAATTCTTATACGTTGGCTGGGAAACCATCGTTCCCTCGATGAAATGGCCAAATTCTGTGCCAGCTAAAGCCGTTGTTTGGTGGTGATCCTTCCTTTGGGTCTTCAAGTTACGTTTGTAGGTACCGTGAGCATTTCCGAAAATTTACTTGAGCAATTTAAATAATCGATCTTTTGCCGTTTTGCACATTCGCCGGTCGCGTGCATTGAAAATCGTTTTTGTTTTGCTTTTCTTCCGCTCCATTACATTTTGAAGGGAAAAGTTTGAGTATTAATTAATTAATTAATTTGTACTGAAAAAAAAAGAGTTTGAGTATTGCTTTGTTTTTCACGCATTTGATTTCTCGTAGCTACCGGTAATTTATTTATGCTTTGTTGCTTACGTTTCCTTTAGGTCAATCGCTACCGTGCCCGTATGCCGTAATTATGTTTTTAGATCCTTCGCCAGAAGCCGACTGCCGCTGCCCGCAAAATCTCTGAAGAAACCTCCGACTTTGGCCAAAAAGCATGGCTTTTAAATGTTCTGGTGGCGCTTAAGTCCGTCCGTCCGTTTCGCCCCAGATCACATCCAGGTTGCCGCCCACAGCCGCTTCTTTGGCCTGTTGATCTGATCAGTCATTTGTAAATTTATTTATTTTTCTTTTAATTAAATATTAATTTTGATTCCGACAATCATATTCTTTAGTTTTTATGCTATTCGTACGCGAACTTCGTCGCAAAATTGCAACAAAACTGAAACAATTTAAGACATTAATTAATTAGACTTAAATAAGGGCCAAGTGATTACTTGCAGTGAAGAAACAATTCTTAAGGCATACTAAGAGTAGCATACCAAAAATGAGAAACTTGTCCATCTTCCAATATTGACCTCTTCACTTACAAAACTGTAGTAAGGGGTGTCCATGATTTCAACCAATAACAAATCGGATCCTGTAGTCGGTAATAAATAAATTTCAGGATCGAGCCATCGCAGATAAGTCGTCAAATAACTTTTTTGGACACTTCCGTGAGCATTCAAAATTTAAATAAAACATTCAGGGGTTCACCTACTCTGAACTGTATCCCCTGTCACATGGTAGGGAATTTTTCTGTTGTGTACATTTCTTGGCATTAATTCTCGTTGCCTGAGAATTCACACAGCTTGTATTCTTACTTTACTTTTATTTTTTGCCGTGACTTGTTCACGCCTAGCCCCCAAAACTATCTGGGCTCTGCTAAACTTTGGTGGCAGTTTCACTGGACGACCCCGTTTCCCCTGGTTAGCCGTGGCTAACTCCCTTTTTCTTCTCGAAGTTCGCTACACACTTGAGTCCAATACTACGACATCCAATCTAACCGGTGGGAATATAATAATAATAATATATCATGTTATTATTTACTTCGTAGTTAGTCATCAGGGCATGTCAAAAATGTATGCTATGTTATTATATTGGCTGCACATTTTATCGTTAACAGAGGTAACAATAAAGTTTGTTCATGCAGATAGTCTAAGCCCTTCTTTATGAACGAACGCAAACAAATCGCAAGCAAAAGAAGAACAATGCGCTGCTAATTAATGTAAAAACGAGGCTGCTGTTAGCTTCGCGACGATGAAAGAGCGTGTACATTTTTTTCTCGGACAGTTAGCCCAATGTGTTTTGTTAAAGAATGAAATGAGTAGACGTCGTGTAAGAAATTTAATGCGTGTTGTCCAATTACTAAAAAAGTTTTGTCGAATTGCAAGCAGTTGTAGTAAAGGGCGGCTTTTCCTTAAGGTTCTTTTCTTAAAAGTTAAAAGTTTCTACCGTCTGAACAGTCACCGAAAATTTGTCATCTTATTCATCAAACAAGTTTACCTGTCATCTAGTTCTGATTTTTTCTGTTTTTGCAGTTTTCGGAAGCTTCGAGGGAGTGTTTTTGTCAGTTTTAGGGAACACATATTATTTGGATTACTAAGAAAAAAAAACCGACAGTAATTATTAAATGTACGTTTCCGATGAAGCGTCTGACGCGTGCGTCTGACGCGGTATGGCTTTTAGGCATGTAACTGGAGACGGCCGCCGCATGTAGGTTGGAACATGCTTCCATTGCTTTCTATTGAGGCGGTGCATTGCTTCAGCCCCACCGCGTCAGAAGCACGCGTCAGACGCTTCGTAGGAAACGTACCTTATCGTCGACCGTCTGTGCGGGGTAATATGTCCAAACAAGCCTTTTAAAGTTGTCTTTCTGCAAAGGATCGCATTTTATTTCTTTAGTGTGTTTCGGAATGAATTTTTATCCTCAGCAATAAACAAATTGTGGGTATTCGAATTTTGAATTCGAATCCATTGACGGACCCTAACTCCGGAGGTTTTAAGAAATGGAAGATTTGGGTTTGAATAGAGATCGTATTTTGTATGGAAGCTAGTTGAGAGTATTTTGAGCACATTCGTTAGTTTAAACCTTTTTGGACTTCCATTCATTTTTAAACTTTAAAGTGCGATTTCGCGATAACTAATCGATCGACTTTCAAATTAGGGGCCATTTGACCCCACCCTACTGGTTTGACAAACTGCCCACTCGTTAAATTAAAATGAATGCGTGATTGTTTAATAAAACAATTAAAATATGCGTATTGGATCATAGCCAGCAGGGTTAAAAAAATGAATAAGACTAAACGATGCTTCGATATTTCGCTGTATTAGTTTATTCTTCTAATGTTTTATTCATTATTTTAATTATGTTAAAGAAAATTGAAAATTTTTCTACTGCTCTTCAAAGTATTTATAATTAGCACTTGCTCAGGCTGGATACAAAAGTAGGTATTCAAATATTTTTGCACAGTATTCTGCCCATCTCTGTTACCGCAAACCACCATTTTCCCTATTTATGGATCAAGTGGCCATTATTATATTAGGAAATTGACGTAAGTTCTCAATTTAGGACGACCCTTTAAATTAAGGCCTGTAAGTAGGTACTCTCCCAATAGATAATATGTAAGAACCCATTATACCGTACGAAGTAGCAATAAACCGAGCCACTTTATTAGTACATAAATGACGTAGCAGCCTTAAAGCCGCCAATTTGAGTGGTCATTACATGATTTGCGCTTACACATGATATTTATGATACACGCGAAACTATAAAACGGTTGTTTATCACGCTTTACACCCCATTCCATCCCCACAATTACATCGAAAACCTAGTTTAATAAATGCCATAAATATCAAGGTTAAATGTTATGTAAGTGTGATTATAACCCATTTCCGTACGTGTTCACCCGCAACTTTTCGAGCAGTATAGACGCCATAAATTATGGGTTGTAAAAGTTGCGCAAAACTTTGCGAAATGTTCTCTTCTAAAGCGTGATAAGAGCACTTTTTCCCATTTACGACACTTCCACTAAAATTTTGCTCAACAAGTTTTTGAATTAATTTTCTTTTCAAAGAGTATACTGCTGAAGTTTTCAGTTACAAACTATCGTTCCGTTTTGTAATGTATGCGCGATGTCGCTCAATCTTCGGTTCATTAGCGTCTGGTGAGAAGTTAAGCTTAACAATCGGGAGCAAGTTTGTCCTTTAGAGGTGTCGGTAATTTCATTTTTTATGAGCTGTAATAAGGTGATCCCATTCCTACTCAAATTTAGTAGGATACTTGCAAACCTCTTCTTGTAATTTATAAACTCCAAAAAGTCACACACTATTACAATTTACGAGAATAGTACATACCTACATTATTTCGTTGTTTGAAAAACAGGCAAGTCACAAAAAGTAACTTCTAATAATAATAATAGATGTCCTAGGCATTTT